TTGGCTCCCCGCTGCCTGCACCTTGTGTTCCCCGTGCAGGGGGTCCCATGGGTGCCAGTGGGGGGCTGTGGGGCAGCAGTGGGGTTTGCCCTCACCTCCGTCTCTCCCCTCTCCAGGCCTGTCCGGGAACCCGACCGACCTGGAGAAGAGGCGGCAGGTCTTCGGCCAGAACTTCATTCCTCCCAAAAAGGCCAAGACGTTCCTGCAGTTAGTGTGGGAGGCACTCCAGGACGTCACGCTGATCATTTTGGAAATCGCAGCCATAATCTCCCTGGGCCTGTCCTTCTACCACCCTCCAGGCGGTGACAATGAGCGTGAGTCCCTGAGGTCCCCGCAGTGTGGTGGGCCACTTGGTGGGGGACCCGTGTGAGCCGCCGTGCTCAGCCATGGGGGAGCAGGGCTTTGGGACGGGTGCTGTCTCTGGAAGGTCACCCTGTGGGTGTCTCCACCCTGGTGCAGATGGAGCTGGGAGGTACTTTTGCTCACGCTTTAGGTGGTGGTTTCTCCCTATCCTTGGGGTCCTTGGCATGGTCCCATCCATGCCCAGGGACCTGTGCTGATGGACACGTCTGGGCACAGCTGTCACCATGACATGGCTCAGAACTGCTCCCTGCTGCTCCTCCAAAAGATGCTCAGAGACCAAGGGGTCTGTCTAGTCCGGTGGCTTCCCAAGTCCCATGGGGCTTCTCGTTTGGTTTGGGCATGGAGGGACAAGGCTGGCTGTCCCCAGGTACCTCCCCCCGACCAGGGAGTGCTCCTCCCAGCCGTGACACCCCATCTGTGGCTGAGTGGCAGCGAGTTTCTCCTCCCCAGCCCTGGATCTCTGTATCGTTGGAGTTGTCGAGCAGGAGCAGGGATCTGGAGATGCAGGGAGACGGTGACTCAACTCGTGGGTCACGCAGCGGAGAGAGGGCTGGGTGCTGCAACTGGAAATAGAAGCCAGTTGTTCCGGCTCTTTCAGCCCAACCTCTGCCAAGAATGAAAAGTGAAAAAGAGAGGAAAAGAAAAACCCAACCAAATGCCTCCGGGGATGTAATAACCCTCTCCTGAGAGCAGGGGAAGCCCTTGGACCAGCTCGGGGAGGAGGAGGGGGGTGTAACTGTCTTACAGGCTCTGCTCTGCATGTGTTACTCGGGGAAGATGGGTGTCTGGTTGTGTAAATGAGTTTTCTCCTTCTGACCGCAGTGTGCGGCCAGTCGGCGGGCGGCGTGGAGGACGAGGGCGAGTCGCAGGCCGGCTGGATCGAGGGGGCGGCTATCTTGTTTTCGGTGATCATCGTGGTGCTGGTGACCGCCTTCAATGACTGGAGCAAGGAGAAGCAATTCCGGGGCCTCCAGAGCCGCATTGAGCAGGAGCAGAAGTTCACGGTCATCCGCAAGGGGCAGGTGATTCAGATCCCGGTGGCCGAGATCGTGGTGGGAGACATCGCACAGATCAAGTACGGTGAGTGGAGGCGGTGGTGGTGGCTGGGGTCTGTCCCTCCACCTCTGGAGCCTTGGCGGTTCCTCCTTTCTGCTTTGCCAGCCCGTTTGCCTTGAGGGGAAGCGTTGGCTTCTCCAGTTACGCTGTTTTGTGCCGTGGCCGGGAGTGATGGGAGATGCTCCTTTGCAGGTGACGGAGCTCCGCTCAGCTTGCTGCATGCCAGCCTGGAGCGGGGCTGGCAGAGCTAAGCCAGGCTCTGCACCCAGCTTCGGGTTGCTTTAGTGACCTGCTGGTCTCAAAAATGATTCATTTGCACAGCCACGTCCTCGTTGGTGAACGTTTCCTTGGCAAGGAAGTGTAGCCCTTGGGCTAAAGTAGGTCCTGCTCCTCGTTTACTGGGGGTGTGCTCATCCCATGCAGCTCCCGTCAGGAAGGAGGTTGGTCCAACACGGTGCTGTTTTTCACACAGGGCTTTCCTCTACCTTGGCAGGTGGATGATGGGATAGCGTAACGGTTTGGATGTATCCGGAGGCTTTGGGAAGGATGTGGTGTTGATTCAGTAAAACCAGATGGGGGAAGCACTGTCTGATTGAGCAAACGAATGCTTTTGTGCATCAGTGGAGAATTTGGAGATATTTAATATCATCTTATAATACCCATCTGTTGCTTCTCCTCCCTCTAGATTTGGTCTGAGACTGAATTTTGAGTCTGTTTGCTGACACCTGAAGCCTCCTCCTGGGACGGGGCAGGCAGGGGTGGGCTGGGGCTGCCCAGGCTGGGGCTGACACCCCTCTTTGCTCCTCTCCTAGGTGACCTCTTGCCAGCAGATGGGATCCTGATCCAGGGCAATGACCTGAAAATAGATGAGAGCTCGCTGACCGGGGAGTCAGACCAAGTCAAGAAATCGCTGGATAAAGACCCCATGCTGCTGTCGGGTGAGGACCCCAGGCCACTCTTGCGTGGTCGGCGCAGGGCTGGGCTGGGTTTGTGCCACGATGGAGCGGTGACTGCTCCCAAGTCCTGCGTCCCGGTGTTGGGGGGGGAGATGGGAATAGCGTGACAGTGTCCTGTCTCACCGTGGCCTTCCCGCTGTGCCAGGTACCCATGTGATGGAGGGCTCCGGCAGGATGGTGGTGACTGCCGTGGGTATCAACTCCCAGACGGGAATCATCTTCACTCTCTTGGGTGCAGGAGAAGGAGACGAGGAAAAGAAGGTGAAGAAAGGTAAGGAGATCCACTGAAACCGCTTTTTCCCTTCTTTTTGCATTTCTCCCTTTCCTGGGAAACGCCCACTGGTGTGCAACAAGCTACACCCACATCTGTGGGACGCAGCTGTGTGTTAGTGCCCGTGACCCAGGCAGGTATGGTGAGCTCTCGAGGCGGCAGTGGGGGTCCCGCACCTGCTGCCCCTGAGGAAAGCCCCCCGTGCGCCCAGACCTCTGCTCACCACCTCTTTTGGACGCGGCTCCAACTCTCTCTTCTTCAGCTGTCCGCAGCCTGGAGTTGCAGGGTGGGGGGGTCGAGGCTCAGTGGGAAAAGTGGCTGACAGCAACGCCTGGGGTGCCGTGGCACAGTGCTCCTTGCCTGCCCCGTGGTGGGAAGGTGAGTCCTGGTTGTCTGCAGGATGTTAGTAGCCCATCCAGAACCTTGAGGACTTTGCTGAAGATCTCTGCTGGCGTCCCCTGAGCTGCCTGGGGAAGGAGGCGAGGCGCAGAGGATGACAAGAGGGAGAGGAAGGGTTGTGTGCTGGGGGGTGGAGGGTAGGAGAGCAGCCGGGCAGGCTGAGGTTTTCCTGATCATGCTGGGACTCGAATGCTTTCCTGCCTCAGCTCTCACATCTTGCTGCTTATTCCCCTGCTCTGTGCCAGCTTCAATGCCAGCTTTAAAGCCAGCATCGGTGCAAGCCAGGCGCAGAGGATGACAAGAGGGAGAGGAAGGGTTGTGTGCTGGGGGGTGGAGGGTAGGAGAGCAGCCGGGCAGGCTGAGGTTTTCCTGATCATGCTGGGACTCGAATGCTTTCCTGCCTCAGCTCTCACATCTTGCTGCTTATTCCCCTGCTCTGTGCCAGCTTCAATGCCAGCTTTAAAGCCAGCATCGGTGCAAGCCAGACTTGGGAAGC